AAGAAGGCTCTCTCCGCGCTGAAATTAGATATCAGTGAAGTATTCCTGTGGTCAGACTCAACGATCGCATTAGCCTGGATTGCCACATCGCCTCATTCACTCAAAACGTTTGTAGGCAATAGAGTAACAAAAATACAAAATCTCACGGAAAACTTTATTTGGAGACATGTTTCCTCAAAGGACAATCCGGCTGATTTAATTTCTCGAGGTCTGAATCCAGAAGAAATAGCATCAAATAACATGTGGTGGCACGGACCATCATTTCTATTTAAGGAAGTATGTGTACCTATGATTAAGACATTTGTGAGCCCTGCAGATGACCAATATTTCACTGAACTGAAAACTCCTGTGACTACGACTTTAGCTATGTCCACAAGTAGTGATATGTTAAATGAACTTATGAACAGGACTAATAATTATAAGAAACTCATTAGAATTTTAAGTTTTATTTTTAGATTTATTTACAATGCCAGAAATTCCAAACATAAACGTCAGGGTCCCCTGGATTTAGAAGAACACGTCGAGGCTCGAGATACCCTCATTCGAGATTCATTCGCAGGTACAGTATTTTCCCTGAAGAGCTTCTCGGCTCTAAAAAGAGGTCTACCGGTCTCCAACAAGAGTAAGTTAAAATCTCTTAATCCCTTCTTGGATAAGAAAGGTTTAATACGTTTAGGAGGCCGTTTAAGTAGCTCCAACTTGAATTACAATCAAAAATATCCCATCATCCTCCCCCGACAGTAGATACGAAGCTCATAATGGAATACTTCCACAAAAGAGATTTACATGTAGGGCCGCATCCTTTTAATAGTGTATTGAGTATTACTCTCCCTTCATGGAAAAAATTTATACATTTAAGGCCATTTAAGTAGCTCCAACTTGAATTACAATCAAAAATATCCCATCATCCTCCCCCCAGACAGTAGATTCACGAAGCTCATAATGGAATACTTCCACAAAAGAGATTTACATGTAGGGCCGCAGTCTCTTTTACATAGTGTACGTCAACAGTTTTGGCCTATCAATGGCCGCAACTTAGCCAGAAAGGTAGTTCATGAATGCCTAACTTGCTTTAAAATGCATCCCACTGCAGTGACTCAATTAATGGGTAATCTTCCGTCTGAAAGAGTATCACCAAGCCCGCCATTTACCAATACGGGCATTGACCTTTGCGGTCCTTTTCAAATCAAATACAAGGGGCAGAGAAAGGGCATTTTGCAAAGGATTTATATTTGTATTTTTGTCTGTCTTGCTACTAAAGCTGTTCATTTCGAATTTCTGACAGACCTTACTTCTGAGTCTTTGATTGCTGGCTTAAAAAGATTTTTTGCCCGACGGGGTAAGAGTTCAGCCAATTTTTTCAGACAATGCAACGAATTTTGTAGGTGCACGTTCGGAATTACAACGGTTGGAAAAGTTAGTAAAACAATCAGAATTTGGAGTAGCTAGCTATTTAGCTTCAGAAGGCATTGTTTGGAAGTTTCTTCCACCTAGAGCCCCTAATTTTGGAGGTCTCTGGGAGGCCGGCGTTAAATCGTTTAAACACCATCTGAAACGAACTGTTGGTAATGCTAAGCTTACACTAGAAGAGTTTCTGACTGTTTCTATTCAAATAGAGGGAATTCTGAATTCACGTCCTTTAACTCCATTATCCTCTGAAGTTACAGATTATGAAGTCCTCACTCCTGGGCATTTTCTGATTGGACGCCCATTAAATGCCATGGCAGAACCTGATGTATTGCATCTAAAAGAAAATAGGCTGTCTCGTTGGCAAAAAACTACTAAGATGGTTCAGTCAATTTGGAAAAGGTGGCATCGAGACTACCTTAACCACTTGCAGCAGCGCAATAAATGGCAGTTTGCCAAGACAAACGTAAACCCTGGCGCCCTTGCTTTACTCAAGGAAGATAATTTGCCTCCTTGTAAATGGGCTACATGTCGTATACAGGAAGTTATAACCGGACCTGATGGAAAGGTCAGAGTAGTTATAGTTAGAACTCCTACCGGCACATTCAAAAGGTGCATATCCAAAATATGTCTGCTACCTATTGAATAATAATACATATGTTTATTTGATGAACCTCATTAATGTAGAATCATATTATATTAGATAGTATCTTTTCTGTAACTGTATAAATGTTTATGCTATTTTTATTCTATTATATCCCAGAATTCACTATGTTGTAATGGATATTCTCATTTTAATAGTATTATATTATACTTTATTATGTTATAAGTCTTATGTTGTATTGAAATATAAATATTTCAACGCGGGGCAGGATGTTCCGTCCCATCCTATTGTTGTAACATTCATCTCACTAGAGGGCGCTGCGACGTCCCCGCTTTTAACAGATAGAACTTCTGTAGACCGCGAACAGAGCGATTGTTCTTTTTGGGCTCCTACAGCATCTCTTTGTAATAGCCATCAGCGCTAGCAAGAACTTTCAGCTCTGATCCTTCAGGCCCCTGTGCCTTTCTATTGATGAATAAACCTTTATAATTGATTACAGTCCATTATTCTTTCGATGAATCTAAATCGCTAACACCGCCTAAATCGGGAGAGTTGGCAACTCTGCATTCCAATTTAAATGCACCTCATAGCTAGGTTTACACTGATGATAAATAGGAATAGATTCTTAAATCTTAAATGCATGTAGTTGCCATTTGGCAACATATTCATATTTAGTCATGTAAATCAAATCATAACACAAATTTTATCTTACTGCATAGTGTAACTAATTGGATACCACTGTTTACGTACTTAGTTTTGAAAGTTTCAATGTGGTGGCACCACTAACGGTGTAATGGTCATTATAGTGAATTGATGTGGACTTAATTTGTATTTACAATTTTTTTTTATTTTGTGTTTGTTCTTATTCTGATGTATTCAAAGTATTAAAATTGTTTGAACAAGTTTATAAAGTATGTGTAAAGCATTACATGAATTGTTATTATACATTTACCTATCATACTTTTTTTGTAAAAGTTAATAATATTTTTTCAAATATTGGAATAAATCTTAGTTTGGATTTTCTTTAGTATTTTTTTGTAATTTATTAAAAATTATTATATTTAAAATTAGTTCCTATTTTATTCGACTTTAAAAATAAAAATAAAAATTCATGCATTTAAAGGCTTTAAATGTCATTTTCTAGTAAAAATACATTTTTTTTAGTATAAAATACTTAATGCACTTTTAACTAAAAAATTCTTTACTTGCTAAAAAAATTATCAATCATTTATGCTTTTTTCTTACTATGTTTTGCTTTTGTATTGATATTGTTTTCTTTGTACATACTTGAATTAAATATATAATTTGCATAAATGCATCATATTGCCTTTACCTGTGTTTAATAAGTACTGTAAGCATAATTTCATTAGTTATTTATGTGAAAACCAATCTAGATTTAATATAAAAATTAGAAAGTGATCAGAAAGAATTTGTCATTTGAAAAATCTTCTATTCTCAGATTCTTGGTATCGATGACTGCAAATTACTGGAATTCTACTGTATGTAAACACATGATCGCTACATTGTAAAATTTTAAAGCTAATGAATACTGCAGCAAAAAATTTAAAATAGGAATATTTGCTAGTCTCTAATCTATATTAAAAAAAATTCTAAAGATATAAAAATAATTTTCTGTTATTTATGTAATAACATCTGAAACACACCATAAACTTGGCACAATGTAACTTGGTAAATTTTCGGTACTTATACAAATTATTAGCAACTACGTACTTATACAAATTATTAGCAACTACTGAAGTTTAATATTTAAATGATTGTGCAATAAAATTATTTCATATAAATTGGGAACATTTAACAATTAAAATTAAACAGCATGTGCATGATGCAAGAAAATTTTTTAAAAGATAGATTTATGTGCAATACTTGATTCTGGCTCTAATATAGTAACATTCAGTAAAAAATTACTGGATTTAATACTTGCTTTTTTTGGGGTTTGAAAATGAAAGCATGAACTTTATTTTAAATAAAGAGAGTATCAGTGGCTAAAAAAACTATAAAATTAGTCATTTTAAGAGTGAACACTGTACTTTGTAGTTTTTCTGCACTAGATAATATTTAATTTACGTTTACCTGAAGGACTTTTTATTGATACCAGCAATAATGGAATTACCCGAGACAGCTTACTCAGGGGTCAAACATAATATGCTTGTTTAATCTTTTGTAATGGCTGGTCTCCATTTGACAATCCAATGAGTTTTTATTACATAGCTGAATAATGCGTAAGGAAATTAAGAATTAATGGACTTTAACTATGGTATGGCCAAAACTGCATATTTAAATAAACATATTTTTAAATTTTTACAAACTGTTGATGTGAATACTAATTAAGAATCACTGGACTATATACAATAGGGTGAATCTTCTTATTATATCATGCCAGTTTTTTGTATTCAAATAAAAAAAAAACTGGCAAAGAACTGTAAATGGTGAAATAAGTGCTTTTGTTGTTTATCTCAGGCAGTGATTGCAACCACGTCTTTTTTTGCACATCACCATTCCAGTTTGGGTCAAGACACACTGGGTGATGGTTTCTGAGAGTCTTTTATTTTTGCTTCTGCATTTACACAAATCAATTAGGAAAATGTTTAGATCATTGGATTTTATGTGCCACTATTATCATGGGCATGACACATATTTATACCACATCTCAGTTACAAATATTTATACCACACTTGAGATCTTAACATGGGCAGATTAGTGAACAAGATATCAACACTAATCACTGAACTAATTGAGTGGCAGTGAAACTTATGAGAAGATAAAACTAAAAACATTTATGTGGGGTGTGAGTGTTATGAAAAGAATGATAAAACTGTATATCATTCCATTTAGTTATATTTTACTGAGTAAGATATCTTACTTTGCTGTGAGGATCTGACTGAAAGCTCTCCCTAATAAAATTAAAAAATTTTTTTTGCATCATATTGCTTTTACTTTGGTGTGTAAAATTAAAATAATACTAAGCAGCAGTATTATAACTACTTTTAGTAATTCACCTTAGCACTTTTAACATCAATAACATGGCCAAACAATTTTTTCATATCAGTAATAAACGTATAACTCAATTTATATTACCTCAGCATGGTGTTTAAAGTACATCGCTTAATAAAACATCATAGAACATACTAATAACAAAACTTTCTACCATTCTTGATACTTAAACCATACTTATACCATGCATGATTACATGTAATGAGTAAAATAATTGTACATGACTGCAATAAAAAAATAATAATCTGTTAGGCTAAAACACTGAAAACATTAACAAGATTAACAACACACATAGTTAACAATCAAAGACAACAGATTTCAACACTGATACTTTGGTTTGTGATATAATTTGATTTGTTTCTCTATAACTTTGCTACATAAGAGCACAACAACCAAGTTCATTAACTCATGAACTTCTGAAACAGAACTTAATTTTTTAACGTTATTTCACATTATGAAGAAGAAAAATTCACATAAAGTGATTATTTTTGCTTTACATAACAAATAATTCTAAATTCAATTTCATTTTTTATACTGCAAAATCATATAATCTATTTATATTTTCAGCACATTTTTACAAAACATTAACATTTAAATATATCCACTTTGAATGGTTACTTCTCAGTAGTTATCAAAAATCAGAAAAATTATTCAAAAACTAATATTGCAATAGTATTCTTTTTAATATGAGTAACTAAAACATTTTCAAAACATCAGTATTAAAAATAATATAATATATGTTCTTTTTATAATAATCTTAGATATTACTCATCATCAAGGCTGATCAATTATAACAATGGGTTAAAAAATCACTGGATACCTTCTGATGGCAGATTCAGTCAGTTTTATGTATTGCTGCAGTGCTGCCAATGGAGTTTTAATGTGTAAGGTGTATAACACAACAAAAATTGTACATGAGATTATTGTGGCAATTCAGTTTTACAGTGTATAAAATTCATCCTGAAATTTCTTTTAAAAAAGAAAATTAACAACCACAATAACAACCAAAATAGACCCCCCCACCCCCCCAAAAAAACCACCTGCAGCATATCCTGCATTTATTTAAGTACATAAAGATACATAAAAATATCTAGCTAATATTTGAAAAATATATCTTTCTTTATGTAAATTAAAAAAAAATTGAATGCTTAAAGGTAAAAATTCTACTTCTGTTGCAGTTATGTTCATATACTGCTACAGGAAGTATAGTTTTAATTAGTATAATACTCATTTAATCATACATGCAAGCAAACATTTAAGGTACTTCTTAGACACTCATAAACAATTACTTTCTTTTACATGCACAGTTATACTAAAAAAAACTCTCACATTTTTATAAAATTTAAGACTGCAACAATTAATAAACCAAACCAAAGTTTCATGAACATTTGAAAGATCATTTGATGTACACCAAATTAAAGGAATGACAGAAAATTGTTCCTAAATATTAACTTAATAGTTAATATGTTAAAAAATGGAAGGGATTATTTCTGTTTAAACTTAAATGACATGTACACTCATAACATATATTTTGGGAAAACTGGTCTAAAATAAGATACATATTAAAAACTATGTGATTTTTAATGTGTATTATTATCAAAAGATAATTACTGAAAGAATAAAAAATTACATAATTTTTAAATTTAAGTTGCTATATTGAATTTTCATTTTATTAATTTAAAAATATTTTTGCACATTGTATATTTCATTTAGACAGAAATATTAAAATACAAAATCTTTAAAAACAGCACTGTGAAGATTCTTAACTTACTAATAATAAATTAACTTACATAAAGTAACAAACTCTGTCTTTAATTAACACAACAATTTGTAACAGAAATGCAAACATGAAATAGGAAGCAAAATTTAACAGGAACAAAGCAAAACATTTCAATCTTTTGTTTGCACTGTCTTAATTATAATCCAGGTATTTCATTTGTACATGAAAGTATAAATTTAAAATAATTTGTAAAAAATGTTGCAGTACACTTAACTATATTTTTAAAAAATTCATTTGAAAAATGTATACATAATACTTTTAAAAATGACTATATTAATAACTACATTTTGAAAAATATCATTTGTTCACATCAAATTCTTATATCTAAGACTCATATACTAGCCTCTGGTAATGTGGCAGAATCTCGGAAGTGCTTAAGAGTAAGGAAAATTCAAGAGCTACAAGAACACCAAATTCCAAACACATCAGATCTTTGCGATTTACTCTGAACACCATTTCAATTTTCTGAAAGGATAGAAAATAATGCCATTAGAAATTACAGCACTAAAATTATATTAGGATTTAAAAAAATAACAAAGAACTAAATGACAAAAAATATTGTACTTTAATCTTTCTTATCAGATTATAGAATGATAAACAAAAATCAGAGAAGCATATTCTAATCCTTAGTATAGAAATCTTTTTAAATGTTTTTTAACCCTCCAACCATTATGGGTTTGGCTTAGGTTCCCCCAAAAGCCACAAGTAAATGGTAATATTTTTATTATAATGCTAAACAATTGTTTCAATTTGTATCTTTTTTTTCAATATGCATTGAAAACTAAATTGAATCAATCACGAGCTGGGAGAATTTTTTGAGTGTAATGAATTAGAAAGCTAGCCTTCTATGTGGAATTTTATGTTCATACCCTTTTGGAGGGTTAACATACTATGCAAATTACAGATTTTTTTTTTTTTTTTTTACTTCTTCATATTTTACATAATATGATATTAAAAAATTCTAAAGTAATAGAAGTTGCCATTTAAGTAATGTTAAAGGATGTAAAAAACTTACCTCTAGTAGTAATCTGAGATCAATCCCTCGAACATCATTTAATTTAGCAGAAAGTAAAAGGCATGCACCAGCACAAAGTTTTCTGTTTTGTTTGTTGACTAAAATCTAGTGCAAATGTAGCATAACTTAAAAACAGCAATATTATGTATGTTTGAAATTAATAAAATAAAAATATAAGAAATTTTTTAATGGAATTATTTTTATTTTTTACCTTTAATATTAATTTCTCAAAATAAACAAATGCTTGGGCAACCACTGAAAGATCTATGTTGCACTGGAATAAGGAAAAGATGTCAAATTTTGAATTAAATATATGCATTTATTTCAAAATATTGAAGATTAATTACCTCATGCCTGGCTATCTTGTACATCTCCCGTTTTATACTGTAAGAGAGAAAAACTATTAACATTTATTTGTGTAAAAAGGTTAACATATTCATTTTCATATGTACTGTCTTTCATAGACTATTAAACAAACATTTTGATTTTCTTCCTTGCATGTAACTTTACATGGAAAAGAGACAAAAAGGTAAAAGTACTGTGAACCCTCTTGTACTGATCACCTCTGGAAATGGTCAGTATTACTGAAAATATGAATAAACAGTAATATTGAACATTACTTCTCTAAGACAGTCTGTCACCTCCAAAGGCCAAAAATATCTAGGACCTTTAGCAGCAGTCTCAGGTTTCACTGTATATGACATTGATAATACATATATATATTATATTGATATGACATCATATTAATAATACATTGATTTATTATATTTTGCTTTGCTACATAGATTTATTATATTGATATGACATCACATTAATAATACATTGATTTATTATATTTTGCTTTGCTACAATACTTAAGGGAAAATATTATTTTTTAAAGTGCATGATTTAGAAATTGGCTAGATAGAGAGAAAAAACAAAATTAGGTTTGTTTAAAGTCATCATATCAAACACATTAATTATTAGATTAAAAACTTATCAGATCACAGTATTATTGAACAGAAGCTTTTTGATCATTCCATATGTATCATGTTAACTCTATGTAGCTTTCATTCACATTAAACTTTTGTATGATTCTGATGTAATCTAAGACAGAAGTTTTGTAAACATTCTTTAAAAAATTTATTTATATATGTGTATATATGATGAAAAAAAGAAAAGGACATAGCAAAGTTGATGGCGTAGCACATAGCTTAGAATGCAAATCCATACTGAAGAGACAGAATTCCGATTGCGTAAAATGCTAAAATGTTTAATCTGTAATGACTAGGAAACCTGGCAGCCATGAAAAATTAAATATTCACTTTTTTCATTTATTTATTTTATTTTATATTTATTTATATTATATTACTTTATTGGCACTTGTGGCCACAATTTATTTGGCACTCTAATTGTGTCTATTCAAGAACATTTACATTTTTGAATAGTATTGCGATAGGAAGAAGAGTAGCATGCCAGTGTCAGAACAGCAAGTGATCTAGAAGCAAAATGCACAATTATTCAGTATGGAAGCTCACCAAGAGAAGGTTTTGGTTTAGGTTAGAAAGATTTCAGTTCTTAAATTTTGAGTTCAAGTTCTGAATTAGTTACATCATCACTGTTACACAAACCATGTGATGTAGATTAATCTAGAAATAGTGCAGTCTAGAAAGGTTATTAAGAATACTACCAGAAAAGTAGTAAAGATAACTCACGAAACGTTTATTCTTGTAAAAAGTACGACGAGAATTTTCTACTCCCTTGTATGAAGTAAAGAAAATATTGTAATTGTGAAAATTTTCTAATACCATATATTTCAATGAAAGTATTCAATTTTACCACTCTTGAATCCATTTTAACGATTATTATTATTATTATTTTTGTGTGACATACATACATATGCATTTACCTCGCATAACTCAAAAATGAGTAGTTTCAAAAAGTTAAAATTTCGACTACTATAATATGTAGCTGTGCTCATCCCTTTTTGGTTTCAATTGGCTGCATCAAAAGTATATATATATATATATATATATATACACACACACACACACCCACCTTATCCATTACCCAGCTTGGTGAGCTCAATATTTTTTGTTTTTATATGTTGGTAAATTGTGCATTTTTTGCTTTTAAAGTGACTAAATTATGTTGTTCTTATAGTCTGGTTAAGGTTTTTATGACTTTAGTTAATCTGTATGCAATAGCTGATGAATTATCAACAATTTAAAAGTTGTTTAAGTACTACTAAGCTTAATGGAGCTTCCATTTCTTCATATTTTAAAATTTTGTTTCGTTTGAAAACGTTTTAAGTTTTAATGTATTTTTGCCATGCCGCGAAGTGAGAACTGAATTGATTGAATGAGAAATATATCTTTAATGGAAGTCGAGGAAATAAGTTTAAATGAAGTGCGGCAGAAAATGTGTGTCATTTAATAGAACGCATGAGGAAATCTTGTGTGTGTCTCACGAGGTTTTCATGTAGAGTGTTGCTGTATTTCATTGTAAATTTAGAAATGGTTGTATATCTGTTTATAATATGTTTTTTAAAGAATGTGCCTGATAGGCAATGCATGTTTAGATTAGCTGTTATATAAAATAGTTAATGCACATTATTTGTTACTTAAATTTTATAAAATTATTTTAAATAAACCACTGGCAGGCTGGATCATTATTGCTCGCAGGCCAGATTAGCTCCTCGAGCCGTCGTTTGGAGACTCCTATCCTAACATTTTCAAGAAATAGCTGGAAAACTTCACAGTTTTGGAAAATCTTTGCTTGAATATCATGAATATTTTTAAGTCCTTGTTTTGAAAGTTTTTCATAGAAATTGCTGTTGTCAATATGAAACCAAAATTTTCTTTTACATATTTATGAAATTCATATTAAAATTAATTATTTATAAAATAATCCACATTTTCTTAATTGTAAAACTATGTAAAATGAAATTTAGGACTTGATAAAAATTCAGTACAATTAAAAATAAACTTTATAAAAATGGACAGGTACTGTACAATGCAAATCAGCATAACTGGCTAATGGCTTTGGGATGCTTCAATACAATAGAACCAAAAACCTTCATTCCTTAAAAAAATTTTCAGTTTACTCTTATGGAAAAAAAAAAAAATCAATTACATTATACACTTGATATATATATATATATATATATAAACCACTAGTAAAACAACATTACCCTACAATAATAAAATTACTCCTAATAATAAAGATTAAATGTGTAAGTGTAGTTGCACTTTGTGCTGAAACTATGGTCAGATGAATGTGACTGATGAAAAGTACTTGGCCAGTTTTCTCACTCTAGTGATTCCAAATTCTTATCTTTATTGAAAATTTAGTTAATTCTTTTGATTATTTTTTCATTTAATTATTTCATTTTTAATAATTTAATGAAATTTTAATAGATTATTTTTTTGGTTTTTGATCTCAAATGAACCAGAAAACGAAACATGTTTTCGAGACATATTAATCAACTTTTATGAAACTTTGGTTCATTATCCCTTGATGAGTTCTGAATTGGAGTTTCAGTAAAAGGAGGTTAATTTTAAAATTGTATTATCTTCTATATTTTCCCCCTTCTACATTTTTATTTATCGAATTTGTAGTACTATGAATTCTTATTTTAATTTTGATTTGTTTAGATATTGTGTTAAACCTCTTATACACACAGTTTCATTTATTAATATTGGTTGAAAAACTGCCTTGCTTTGACTCCAATTTACTTTTAACTTCACACACACACACATATATATGTATATATCTGTAAATTGAATTTAAATACAAATTTAATTAATTCTTTGTGCCATTGCAGCAAGGAATGAAATTTAAATTTAAATTTAAACAAATTTAAATTTTAACAAACATGTATATACGTAAAAAAGCAAATTTAAAGTTAAAATAATTAAAAAATGTGCAAACATATAAAAGATTTAATTTTCGAACTAATCTACAATATCATTTAAATTCAGATAGCATATGTAAATCAAGTGCAAAACCAAACCATGAAAATAAATTCACCAATTTAGCAAATTAAAATTAATCTAAAATTTTTTTTAAAAAAAATGCATAAGTGAATGACTGTTGAGCAGGCAGGAGACAGACTTATCAAGGGGAAGTTGCCTCCAAACCTAACTCTCCAATCATTCAATTCGTGTTTCGTCATTCATGCAGACAAGGGTAAAAGACAAAACCAAAAGTAAAGAGTGAAGAAATACCAATAATGTGGTACCTTTAGAAATTAGCAATTAAAAATTAAAGTTCTAAAAGGAAAATATCAATGAAGTCTTTTGAGAAATAAGCAATGTAAAGTCAAGTATTAAATTAAACTTTTCAAAAAATTAAATTTTTAAAAATTTTTGTAGAAAAATTAATTTAGAAACCAAAGCAGTTTAGAAACCCTTGCCAACAGAAACCTCGGGGACACGAATATGCATATTAATAAAAAGAAACCAAAAAGGAACTAGACATAATTTATATAAACCAATAAGAAACAAAAAAAGCTAATTCATAATTAAAAAAAAACAAATATGTACTTAAAAATATAATTTCATATCTAGAAAATACTTAAATACTACATAAAAAATATTTAAAAAATACTTAAAGCAAGTAAATAGTAAGTTTTAATTCTAACTTACCTACTATATTAGCATATTGCGGTCTGCAAAAGTTTTTCCAAAGTGATATAAGTGTGTTCTTCAAATTATATAGATGGCGCTTATGTAAGTAAAGTTGAGTGCTAAGCTGATATCTTTGTTTTACTAAAATTTTTTTGCAAACTTTAATATTAAAATATAAATCTAGAAAAAATTAAATATCCTAAAAGTATGTAATACAAGTTTTAATTTTAACTGATCAACTATTTATGGTAGGGAGTTAAGTAGCTGAGCCAATCAAGAGATGTAAGTTTGCTTTGCAAATATCATAAAAGAGTACTAATTGAAGTAAAGTAGAGTTGAAACAAAAGTTCATAATCACCAAAATTGACAAAGCCAATAATAATTTTAGCATAATATGAAAATTTTTTTTATGTCTCATCAATTAATACTGAACTAAATAATGCCATTACTTACAAACTCACTAATATACAAGAAAATATTATTGCAAAAAAGCTAAAAGCATTTCATAAGAAACTGCAAATTTCACAACCATCTAACTACAATAGATTAGTAAATCTATATGCTCTCCCAAAATTTCATAAATCACCACTCAAATTTAGATTTATTGCTAATGGTACAAATAATTATAAAAAGAATATAGATTACATATTTGCAATTAAACTTAAAAATCTGTAATTTAATCCAACAACTCGCTAACAAACAACACAATTATAGTTGGATTATTTATAATAATGCTCCAGTTCTCAACAGATTTAAAAGTTTAAAAATCAAGAA